TTTCTCTGAAAATAATTTGTTTAGATATGGTTTAGAATGACGTTTTGTTTGTGAAAAATAAAAAAGTCAGGAACAGTAATTATTAATGTAGAATTCATTACTGTTATCTGGGAAAGCAATAACTGAAGGCTATGTAAGTTACTAAGTTTGTTTCCACTAAATATTGACCATCTTCACCTTTTATAAATTTTTCATTTTGTGAGAGAAAGTAGTAAACATCTTATACGCATATTGTAATAATTCTGGCATGTTCACCAATAGCAGTGCTATGGTGGTGTAAATCTTATCACATACAGTAATGGTTAACACAACATGAAATATACAAAAATGTTATAAAATTTTCAGATCTTAACTCCTGAAACAGGACTCTCAGCAAATGCATATATCTCATCTGGTTGTACAAATTAAAATACCTGATGAGAAGAATGAACATGTAACATGCATAAAGATCATGAGAACTGAATACAAAATGTTAGGAAACATCAAAGAAAAACTACTTGAGAGACCTACTACAGATGGGAGGATGGTAATGAAAGAGGATATTGGATAAATATGAACTGGACTAGGATATGGTAATTATGACAGCTTCATGTTATCGTTGATAAACTTTTGGCTTTCATAATGGGGAACTTTGCTCAGTAACTCAGCTACCAAAGAAGTTTCTGCTCAAATGTATCCTTAGTCTTTGGAATCAACAGGAATTACATTTATAACAGGTATTTTGCACCAATTGGAAAAACTTATTCATTGAAGTTCCTTACTCATAAGTTATTGCAGAAACTTCTGAAATAATCCCCTTGTTGCACATTAAAATTCTATTCATTTTTACTGCCAATTCAAACATTTTCTTGTCTTCATGAAAATAAATCTAAGACAGCAAGCAACCATGAGTGTGTTAGATCTTAAAAGTATGCATCCACAACTGTGCTGGATTTGCAAGGAAATAGTTAAATAAAATTTTCCAATCAGTGCCTGCTTCAATTAAAACAAATCCTTCTTTTTTCATACTTTTATTTACTTATTTTACAGTAAATTGATACCTGTGTCTGTGTTGTGTGAAGCAATGAAGAGTTTGGATCAAGCTTGTCTTGTAGACATTTCCAATATTAAAAACAAGCCAATACAGAAAGCCACTTATATTTTAGACATATGCTTAGGTGGTCAGAAAACCAACATTTTATATCACCCAATTTACAAATATTCAAATCTTTTGCTCCTCCATTATTCCATCAAAGGAAAATAAAATATTTTAATTTGCAATGTCAATGTCAAAATACAGAAAGAAAGTAATTTACATCAACAGGAAACAAAACTGTTAGCATATGTGATGGATTTATCTCTTCATGGAAGCATTTTATACTCCTCGACCAAACCTGCTGTCAGAGATTATAATACTACTGAATTACATTAAATGCATATCCACAAGGTCTCTTACCATTATGTGATTACATTCAAACATTAGCCATGAAGGAACATAGATGCTGACATGTTTAAAATATACACAAATTCACCTACTGGCTGTTCTTAGTGGTACATCCATACACTACTCCTTTAATTACATTTAAATTTTATAACAGAGAAAATATTCATACCTAGCTATTAATTTATATGCAGTTATTAGTAGGACAATAACCTATTCCCTCATTCCCTTTGGGAAAACTGATAGAACATAGGTGCAATTACATTTATATTTAACAGACATCAAGCTTTGACAGACCAAATACAACAGCATAAGCATTTTACATGAAATACCTACACCATACATTGTATTTAATCAATATTTCACTACAAACTAGTACTTTCTAATATGTTTCCCATTTTATTATGATCAAAACTGGAATTCTTTATTTGTAAGCAATATAGCAAAATCTCATGAATATGCTTTTGAGGTTCGTTATCATCACACATTTTCCCCATTTTGTAATGTTATCATTAGATAACATATAGTTAAAACAAGCTCAATTTATACTGAAGGCTTAATGGGGAATTTTATACATGAAACTGACACCAGTATTTCTCAGCTGAATGGAAATTAAAAATGCTGTGTAATTCAATACAAACTGGTACAGGTATACCTGAACAGACACACCTCTCAGGTATACCTCAACATGTAGATGATAAAACTGTACCGTGTGGACACACTAGAACATGAGGTATACCGAACAGGCATACCTGTTCAGGCATAACTGAACGGTATACCTGTACGTGTGTAGCTGGCTTTAAGTTTCTGAATATATGAAATAACTGGTGCCAGACTAATCATGCTTTGTGTTTACACACATTAACTAGTCAACATTCATGACTCTCATTCAATTTATCTATTGCTCCTCATCTCCAAGATCAAGTTTTACTTTTGAAAAATCAAAATCTTCTCCAGTGCCCCTTCGAAAAATATCAAGGACATCAAGGCAAGTTGTTTCAAAGTGGGTCGTTGCATCATATGAGGCTGAAATGAAAATTTGACTCTCAAGGCCATCATCTGTTGGCTCATAAAAATCACTGACGCTCACAAATTTCTGACGAATTGGGCCTAGCAGGTCAAGACCTGGCTTGATCTCAATTTCAGGATTATCGGTTTCAACTGTTGTGGATACCATTGCAATGAACCAACCCTTTGCTGACACCTGATGGGTGTAGCTTACCAAAGAGACATAAATGTCAGACCTACGTCCAACTTGTTTCTGAGGAATAATAATCTGGGTTGAGAGCGCATCACGAGTGTTGGGGATTGGATGATCAATGAGGCAGATACACCTGATCACCTGCCCTGTCTTCTTAACCTTGTCAGGAACATAAGAAGGGTCACAGTAGACTTGCTTACACTTTGCAACTTCTTCTCCTGAACGGACACCAACAACACGGCCATTCTCCATCACGATCTCATCGATGGGTTTATCTAGCATATAGGTGCCACCATAAATAGCGCTCAGACGTGCAAAACCTTGAGGCAGCTCCCCCAAACCATACATTGGATAGAGGTATGGTGATTTCCCATACCTTGCAAGTGAATCACTGTACAGCTTTATTCGACGTACTGTCTGGACTGCTGTCTGATTGAGGTACTCATCATCTCTGTATAAAGCCAATGCATGGCCTGTAAAATCTTGAGTATTTTTATCAAGCCCAAACTTGTCATATATCTGCTGCATTGTACATGTGTTGGGGTCCAAGTCTTTCCATGTTTTCGGATCATCTTCACGTACATCTTGGACATAAATCAGGAAATTCCGAAAGCGACGCTTTTCAAACATTCCCATCAGGTCAGAAGCAAGCGCTTCCTTCTGATCGACAGGGACTTTGGAGATCTTCCCACCCTTGTAGACATAGCTGCCTTCAACAGATTTAAATTCCAAGTATCTTGTAACTCCTGTATGGATCAATAACTTAACTAATGACCCATTAGCCATTAAAAATTTCGGAATCAAGTCAACATTCCAATCTCTACCTCTCCCGTAACATTCATCGGGTGCAGGGGCACCGAAACGTGTAAAAAGTTCCTCCAAAGGAGTTATGGAAGCTGACTCGCCACCGTAATACTTGTTGCGGTCGACGTGGAGTACTTTCTTACCCGAAACCGACAGCATCCCACTGAGGATACACTCTTTAAGTCCAGTTCCCAGAACAATAGCATCGTATTCTTCATCCATTTCGTCTAAAACAGAAGAAATCTAATAAATTTGACACTAACAAGACAATTCGCCAACAGACAAACCAACCCTTTCCTCTGGAACGCCAACCGTAGGTCAATTTTCCCCAAACCCAGACGAACAACATTACTTCTTGAAATATCTCTATACAGTCACAGAGAATTAAAGTATTTTTTCAACATCCATATATATATGGAGCATAAATTGCATCACAATTTATCTACTTCTACAACTTAATTTGTAATACTTAAAAATATTACATATAACATTTAATATATCTTGCCGCATCAAAATTTGTAGCTTTTTATATTGGCAGTTTGTATAGAGTTTCCATATTCTATTCATAGATGGAGCATAAGTCCACACAGGTAACCTGTGGGCCACCAATAGTGGCATGGTGCTAGTGGTTAGTTGGCATCTGTAATCAGAGTGGTGTGATTGTGGGTTAAGGTATAATTGCGATCTGTATTGTGACTGTTTTAAACTGGGTTGTCTTCAGTGAGTGACATGTGCAGTATAAACTTCGCATTATCATTAAGTGTGGGCCTGGCCTAAAATTCGTTAACAGGAGTTATGAAGAAAAAGGCAAGTTTAGATAAGTTTCCCGTGATTTGAATGACATCATTTGACATAAATTCATAGATGCATGTGTATTATGAGTGTGTTTACACGTTAATTTGTCTGAAGTTCGTACTTTTTTTGTCATTTACTGTTCCTGTTGAATTGCAGATGTGCAAACATGTCAACACTTGGGAGTGGCGAGAAAGCTCAAATGGAAAAGCAGCAACAGGAACAGCTACTACCGCCTCCTCCTCCTCCTCCTCCTCCGCCGCTACCGCCATCTCCACCGCCTCCGTCATCTCCACCGCCCTTTTCGCAGCCACAATTTCCGCCACTGCAAGGAAATCAGCATTGTGCCACATATTTATTCCCATCAACACATCCTCGAGCAGTGGTGTCGATGTCTGCTGCAGTGAGCATTGCAGCTGTAAGTTCACATTCGGCGTCAATTCTAAAAGGGCATGCCCGAAGCGCGAGCCACGGTGGTGTTGGGACATCTCTTACTTCTGCCAGTTCAGTGGGCGCTATAGGTCGCCCTTCAGCCTTGAAACAAAATCGTGGCCATCAGCGTGCATTCTCCCAGGGACAGATTGTGGAAGGTGGAACAGGATCTGCTTTGCGTTGTCATAGTCGTGTTGGATCAAGGACAGATTTTATTCTTCCTCCGGGACATAAAGATTCGGATGGCACAACAGTGGGGTCTGGTAGTGCAGCAAAGCCTGCTGGTCGTGGTGGACATTCAAGGCAAGCTTCCAGATCAGAATCCATTTATACGTTAAGACAAAGTGGGCCTCCTTCTCTTTGGAATCAGTTTCAGTCCTACATTCTTCGACGTGGAGGTAAAGCAGATGTTGAAGAACCAAGATACCGAACTGTTGTTCCAAACCATCTTGTGCCACCCCGAACACCTAGAAAAGTTCACCCAAATGGGCGCCGTCCTGATAATCGTATCCGGACCACCAAATATACTTTATTATCATTTCTACCAAAAAATCTTTTAGAACAATTCCATCGAGTGGCGAACTTGTATTTTATTTGTATCGTGTTATTGAATTGGGTCCCAGCAATCAATGCATTTGGCAAAGAGATCGCTATGATTCCTGTATTGTTTGTGCTTGGTGTAACTGCCGTAAAGGATTTGTTTGAGGATCGCAGAAGACATGCAAGTGACAAGCGCATCAATAACTCTACATGCCGAGTTTACAGAAGGTGAGCAATATAATTGATTGTGGTAAAACTAATCTAAGCAAATATATACAATAAGGAGTATGTGTGATTAGAAACACCCTAAGGGATGTGGAATCTTGAACTCTTATCTGCCCTTGACCCAGATACCATCATAAATAAATTTTTTTTATGCTGTCAGAGGAAGGTAATGGTAATGCAGAATATAAGCTGTAATGATCGGTTGGATGAAAACAGACTAAGAATACAGGTGATACATCAGAGTTTAACGAAATTAATAAATATAAAAAGATATTAACATTTTTGAACACATGCATTTATTGACTAACTTGTGTAAAGCAGAACAGCCTCTCTTCAAAATTTTAATTTTTTTATCCTCTTGTGCCATATTTTTTATTGTGATAGCTCATCCTTAATGACCACATTTTCTCATGTTTGTACAGACACCATACTAATGTTAGGTTAGTTTTTACCTTTTTGAAGCACAGTGTATTCAGTTTAAACATGCACTTGAGGATATTTGGCTGCTTTACCTTTCTGCAATGAGTTATCAATGAGTTGGTTTCCAGCGTTCCTAGTCATTCAGCTCTGGTAATACAGAGACTGCAAATTAACAGCGGTGGTAGGAAGTGTTATTATATTCCCTTGTGATAATCACATGTGTCTCATTGTTGTGCAAGATTCCTTTTTTATTGGGCATGGTCAATTTTACATGAAAGCTTCAAATATTTTTGTGTGAATGATTGTGATGTGTAAGTCCACTAGAAAGTGTCAGAGAAAACTCCGGACAGTTTCCTAGGGTTTGAGTTCCACACAGAAACAGTGTTCAGAATATTTTCACGATAGTGAGAATAACTTTGTTAACAGCCAGGAAACCCAAATTTTGCGTATTGACAGAATAAATGCTGGAAATATTGGAACTCAGCTTGAACATTTGCCTTTTAAGCCTGGTAAACACCTTGCATAAGACCTGCAAGAATCAAAAAGAACACCAGGAACTGAAACTATGGCCTTACAAAATCAAAGTTGTGTACGCTTTGCAGCCACATGCTTTGGTAGCCAGACATAATTTCTGTAACAGTCATGTTCCGTCAATTGTCGATGACCAATTTGAGAGTTAAATTTTTCAGATGGTTTTATTTGAATGGATAAATAAATACGCAAAATAACCAACCAATACTGGAGTTTATAAAATCTGCATCTTGTACACAAAGTTCCATTCCATGATATAAAAGTTGGGACTTTGGTCCACCCTGATTGCAAGGAAGATTACTGGCACCCTGTTTTTTTGGAGAAACAATTCTGTGAGATGTGTAAGACAGATGCTGCAGTACTTTTCAGGCAGCTGAAAGATGAATATCTCTGTGCACATTTCCAACAGAATTCTGCAACTGCATATGTCACTGAGCATTTGAGGTGAACAATGTGCGGTGTTTCAGGTGAAAGAATTGTTAAGTCACAGTTTATAGTAACCTTCTTCTTTTGACATCACTTTGTGTGATTTGTTTTTGTGGGGATGTTTACAACATAAAGTTTATGGAACAAGTCCAATACACACACTGGAGAACAGCTCAGAGATATTATTTATCTTGAAGGGTTCCATATATCCACAGAACAATTAGTATGTAAATATTGAGAATCTCTTTAGAAGGTTTGGGAGATGTATCCAAGCCAATGAAGGTTCTTATCAGCGGTCACAGCATTGCTGACTGGGAGAGTTGGCAACCAAGGCAGTGAACACACATAGCAGAAAGGCTGTGCTGTGGCACAGCTGCCAAATAACTTCCCCATATTTTACTTCTGTGTGTTTATTTGAAGTGGTCTACTACACAGATTTTAGCTTCCTGCACTAATTTTAGATTAGGTTAAGAGTTGATGCAGTTGTTAGGGAAAGTATGGTTTATTCAGTCTGCACCTGCATGTCAGCATTATTTATTTTCTCCAAATCAGCATTGTTCATAAATGTTTGAAGGTGTTAAAATAACGCCTTGAAACATTTATGAAGTGCAGATTTCATAACTTGCAACTATAAAGGTGAATGAAAGAATTTGACTGTGTTCTACATTAATCATGTTTAATATAGTTCTTTTTCCTGCTTGGGGATGTGTGGAGAATTGAGGGAGGGAAGTCTGCGATTTCATCACCAGAACATAGGTCAAAATCATAATATACAGATTACCAAGAAATTCTTTGGGTACTTGTGGGTTATCGGGACACATCGCTTTAAAAATACCTAAGTTAGGTTAGGTTAATGTGTGTGGATAAATGACATATACCGGGTCTCCAATTTATGAGCTTACGGTCTTGCTTACATTGCGTTATCGGCCGCTGCTGTTGACGTAGGCGGGACTTTAACGCGTGAGTCACGGGCGAGTCAGTTTCGGTGCCGCTAGTAACAGCGAACTACGAATGTTTCTCGTCACTAATACATGTTATTACATTAATTGTTCTTCCCTTAAATCACAAAAGATGTTCAAAGTGACTTCCTTGTGCTTGCAAGCAAGCTTCACATCTCGTTAACATGTTTAGAAATACTCTCTATAAGAAGGAAATAAATTTTAAATAATGAGGAGACACGAAGAAAACATCGCAATTTAATTTGCCTTTACATTCGCGGACCGTTTACACGCAGGTACGTGACTATATATTCTATAAACCCTCGCCGTGTAAACGTAGCGGTAGGATAGGAATGGAGTTGTAAATCTAGTTTTTCCTCTTAAGTTTATATGAAAACTTGGAGCGAGGAGACAAAGCATCTTTGACATTTTATTTTATTCTGCTCTTTGCAAAATGTGTACAGAACCCTGGCATGAGACTTTGAAGTTTCTTATCAAAGTGTTTAATCTTGTAATGTATTATCTAATCTTAGGTGACGTGGCTTTGTTAATATTCTAGTTGGTGTGCCAGAATGTTTGAGCGTTATTGCATCACACACCAAAATGGGTTGTTATCAAGGAGTAAGCTAATTGTAGTTAATTGGTTTATATCCAAAATGTATTTAACACATTTTATTTAATAGTCATTTATTTTCTTTTTATTTAGGTCATCGTTAGAACTATAACATGTGTGAAGAGTTGACTTAAATGTACTTTGCGTATTGTAATATTGTTTATTTGTGATAAAACAGTCATCTAAGTCTGTAACAACATTGGTTTAGAGTAGCAAGGAACACGTGTTCTGACTCAATTTTGAGAGAAATTTATGAAAGATATAATTCGATAAATCCTGAATGGTTGGTATTATATAAGGACCTCAAATGGATGATAACAAATATGTTCATTTATGAAATTAGGAGTTGAATTAGTTGATACATTCTCATTCTTATCATTACTCAGTGGAAGTAAATTACGCAAATATGACTTCTAAGATGTTGGGTTGTAGAGTCTGGTAGAAATTTACTGTTTTCATTAGTGCTTAAATGCCTCCACCATCAGTGGACATTTCAGAAATTATGGTGAGCTTCTGCGAGACAACACGGCTGAACATCCAGAAGTCAATCTCCTTCATACCACCATGAAAAACCGGAAATTCAACGTCTGTATACCCACACAACCACATTTATTTTATATCCCCTGAACCAGGCACGTAACCCTTTGAAGCTGGAGTTACAACTCTAGTCCGTACCGCAAAGAAATCAATTCTTCGCTATTACAAAGACCAACTGGTTAATGCTGTTTCAGGAAATAATACCTGATTGAACTGAGAATCACGATGAACGGAAATAAGAGTTGTTAAAGCAGGTGGACTTAAAAGGGTTTGTCTTCTGATGGGTGTGTGAGAATCGCAACTTTTATTAATTCCAATCTTACGAGTAATATGTTATAAATTTGTTTTTCGTTCCCCTGTTTTCGTACAAGAACACATAAATGCGAATTTAATTGAAATATATGAAATACAAAAGAGCATTAGGGCCTACGCAGGTAGCTATTTGGCATGCATTTGTAACTTATGACGTATAAATATTGCAAATACAGGGTCACACATCGTATATAATTCGAGAATTTAAATCGGTCCGTGGGACGCATGTGGCCCGCGGGCCGTGAGTTTGCATGCCTGCCTGCTCTACTAGTGTCTTGCAATTGTCCATCAACGATGGTACTCTGCTCACCATTTATTTATTCTCTCTCCGCTATGTAGGCAGATATTTTAGACTTTGCGCAACTTTGTGGACAGCTTAACGATTAAGAGATATCTTATCATGATTCAGAAACAAAGCAACATAAATCCTGCTATTCTTGATTAGGTTTTGAGATGCCTGGCCAATTTTTACGAAACGGACACTTGCTTTGTCTTTGTCATGACCATGGACAGCGTTCAGTTCCTGTATTAGCTGAAAACTGTCTTAAGTTGCTTGTAAGATCTGGTCTGTAGAACAGGGTTTAGGGATTATTAAGTTTAATTTTATCTTGCCTTATTTCACGCAGTGCATACAATTAATCATCATTTATACTCTTCACCAAATATTGTTAGGATGATCAATTCAAGAAGGATGAGATGGGCTTGGCATGTAGCACACCTGGGGCAGATGAGAAATGCGTACATAATTTTAATCGAAAAATCGAATGGAAGAGACGTCTTAAGTGTAGATGTTGGTGAAGTAGATCGGATTTATCTGCCTGTTGTGAACGCAGTATTGAACTAATCAACTTTCGAAGATCCATAAAACGCAGAGAATTCCTTGACCATCTTGTTGACTATTAGCGCTTCAAGAACTCTGCTCCATGAAGTTGTTTACTGATAAGTATTTCTGGACCTGGTATAGTTAATTCAAGGTTTAAAGACTACAAAGAATTATGGGCTGGGCTGTGTGTTTATGGCAGTTAAATCGACCGGAAGATAAGTAAACTACCTGCTCAGCCTGGTTGTTACGAGTTCGTGGCTGTAATGTTGACTTGGCTGTGCTATCAGACAAGCACGTGCTGAGTTGGCGTTTCTGTTCCCACTGTTTGTCTCATTTCTTTATATCTTGCTGTCTTCCTTTAATTAATTTTTCTTTTGTCTAATTCTTCTGTTTTTCTTCACCA